TTGGCGTCAAGAAGCAGTGTTAGACTTATAACAATATCTAAACAATTTGTTTCTCTATATCAAATTTTACGGTACGTACATAAACGTAAATAAATTTGGAAGCCATCAGTAATAATAAAATTCCGTTTGGTGCTAAACTGCGCTAGATTAAGAAAGACTAAGTGCGGGTTGTGCTTAATAAGCCGGAAATAAGGTAGTGAACCCTATCTGACAGTACAAAACATGTCTGGTACCACATTTAGATTAACATTCTAAGTCCCTCCTTTTTTACATATTCTGCTCAAACGCTACTTTCTGCCCCGCCCCATTCATACAATTCGGAAGGAAATCCTGAGAGGGGTGAGCTATTTTGAGTGCAGAATGTGTAAAGAAGGAGGGACTTCAGTTGTTAATCTAAATGCATATATAGAGGTACCAGATATGTTTTGCACTGCACTGTCCTCTGTAAACAGTTATTGGAAAACAAATTATGTGTAGTTTCCGATCGATGCCACCGCCAACAACAGCAGTGACATCTGATGGAACATGAAAGCAGAAGCTTGACAAAATGATTAATCCGTTTTTCCCTCAGCTTTCATTCCGCTTTGCACGATTCGTTTTTTACTCAATCAACCTTGTAGTGACGTCAAAATGTTTGTTTCGATCGGCGCTTACATAGGAAATTTAATATGGATTATAGAATTTTTTGTAGGGGAATTGGCTCTAATGTTGGCCTATGGATCTAAGATCGCTAAAAATCTGCTATTTATCATTTTTATCCAGATGAACGCGTCATTGGGACGGTACTAATGAATATTTTTGGTTGCTTTTGAAAATTTAGTTGATTGCTGAATTTATGTAGAGGCATAATATTGAGGTAATTAATTGATTATTGAATTAGCACTCTATATACCATGAAAAAGCAGCCTGTTTGTGAGTTTTTGCCTGTTTTCAAGTAAGGAGTTATCATAAAGAAACAATTTGCCAGCTGGTATTACCCGGCGACTTTACAAATAAATACAATCAAACAAAATCATCATGCAGAACGAGGATTTGTTTCACTTCATATTTCACAAAATTGCTTTCGAGTGTTATGACATCTTCTCCCGCAAAGTTTACATTTTGACATAGGATTACGTCTCTTGGCAACATATTGGGGATGCAATTAAAAATAAAAAAACAAAATCGACCGTGTTACCAAAAGTGGTCAGGTGTTGACCACTTATAACTCTGTCAATAGCGGATGGATTTTAAATCTAAACAAGCCAATTGATTGGTAATTTTTCTTCAAAGCTGCTAAATTCAATACTTCATCAATTTTCATTTAGGTTACTATTGAAAATTACACAAATGTCCAACTGTGGAAATGGTTTTCAAAATTATCACCGATTGCCTGCAAAAAGTGGTTTCCCTAACATAGTCGCCAAATATTGATACCGAGCACGTAATCCTACGTCAAATCTACGGTCGAGTCTTGGATACAACCTCTTACTTTTTTTTCTTGACCGGCTCTGATCCACTTTCGGCTGACGGCATCGGCAAATTCAGCGCAGCATATACTGTAGCATGTTGTTTGAATAAGTGTCGTTTGAAATTACCGGGCATCAGTGTGTCCTGCTTGTATCCGCATGATTCCTCAGCCTTGCAGCAAAACTTTCCATCCTCCTGCTGAATGACCTGCAGCATGGTGTATTTCTGTATGCATCGTCGTTTCATTCTAAAAATGCAAAAAAGTATTAGTTTAGCTCAGTTTCATCCCAAATAGTACTTACCTGTGACATCACACTGGTATCAAATAGCACCTTGAAATCGCAAAATTAATCCAAATAGCAGTGAACAAAGCCGAGAAAAACAAAGCCAACTTATGAACGATTCAGATGAATAACTGATGAGTAACTGAGATTGAAATATTTCCAAGAACATGTTTGTAAATGATTTCAAATTGAACGTTACGCGATGCGATTTTTTCCAACCGGTGGAAACTATCGATTTGAAATTGCCTCACTACTTGACTATCCTATTGGTCCCAAGCAATTAGATTAACGTACCCTATTGCCCCGTAACGTGGGTAGATCACCTTTTCGTGGTACGTTACGGGATGTAAGATCTACCACCGATTCCTAGTCTTGACTACTTCAAACTAGGGGAACAGGATTTTTCAGTAATCAAAGGAACACATCTTAGTCCTTGTTACTTTTTATGCCTTGTTGATAGTGATAAGTCCTCGGGTTGCCTGGACCGAGGATGATCTTGAAACAAGGAAAAAATGAGTTAGTTAGTCTTCATCTATGTGATTCCTAATCTTCTATTCGTTGTTCCCTAGTTTGAAGTGGTTAAGACTAGGGTTCTGATGCATGGTCACTATCGGTGTCGTTCTTTAATTTTGTTGCTAAGGAATCCAATTTTGACTGACAAAGGGGCGCGCCTTTGGAGGGTGTTTCAACACTCCGAAGGGTATAAATAGCGGGACCTTTCAATTAGAATCGATTCCTTGCGATGAAGGCAAGAATGACAACTGTATCAAAACCGAATACTTCATCATTTTTCAATAGTGATGAAGTAATACGACATGCACTAAACTAAGGACACGGGATATACTACAATAGATCAAATTACTGGTCGCAGTAGTTTTATGTCCCGAACAGAGAAAAAAAAAAAAAAAAAAAAACGTACCCTATTCTAGACGAAATTCTAGTACTACACTATGTTTGTTTTGATTCGCTTTGAAAGTTTGAGAGATAAAATGAGGGGTTCGTGGATTTTCATATGTTTCGAGGGGTGCATCGATTAGCTTGGGACCGAAGATAGTACCTGAGCTGAGCCAAAAAGTTTAGCTCGTTTTTTCGGGACCTTCTAGTCTTAGAGTTGCCTCTATAGTATCACCGCTGAGCAATTGGAGTCATCTTCGCTAGCCGAAAACATACGCAAACATGCACTGTTGAGCCATTGCAATCCAACTGATCTCGATGAGAGTCAGCCACTGCTACCTCAGAAGCTAAGGACAGCGGCCCTGGAACCGGCATAAATTCAAACAATCACCAGATCTATCAAACCAAGTATAGAAGCAAAACCATCAACAAATATTGGCAATTTTAAAAATTTCTCTCCTTTACCTCACCGTGCAAAATTTTGTACCATCATCATTTTTCTATTTCTCCTATTTGCCACGAGCACTATTGTTAGATCGCCAATAAGAACAGAACGAACAGAACGAACAATCAACACATCATTCAAACCGTGCTCTCTTGCCGTGTGGATCTATTTGCTTTTTGTTGAAGGAAGTGTTACCATAGAGGTAACTCTAAGACTAGTAGGTCCCGAAGAAACGTGCTCAACTTTTTGGCTCAGCTCTGGTACTATCTTCGGTCCCAAGCTAATCGATTCACCCCTCGAAACATAGGAAATTCCACTAACCCCTCATTTTATCTGTCAAACTTTCATAGCGAATCAAAACAAACATAGTGTAGTACTAGAATTTTGACTAGAATGGGGTGCGTTAATCGATATACTTGGGACTGATAGGCTAGTCAAGTGGAAGCCAAATTAAAATAGTTAGTTTCCACCGGTTGGTATTACCTAGTACATATCACCAAACTTGAAATGACGGGTTTGATACCCGTTGCGAAGAAAATCTTTCGTGTTGGAAAGGCAGGCAAAATACTCGCGTCAGAAGAAGAAGAAGATGATATCATCAGAAATAAAGAGCTAGGTTTTACGGGTTTCACCTATTACGATTCACACTTCCCATGCGGCTACCTTTGACGAAGGACCTAATGGTGCAATATTACAGTAGATGCAACAGAAAATTTCGCAACAATGCTAAAACATGAGGAATCTGGCCATCACCTGATGCAGCAGGTACAAATTACACGGTTCCCACCTTTTCGGTAGCCTTCGGGACTCCCTGCGGTGTGCAGGCTCTTCAAACTTTGAACTGTTTCGGAACTGACACTTTTTTTTCCGTGATAGAAAGATGGCAAATCTGGAAACAGGAAGTTGACCTTTTCCTCACTTTTCCCTATATTGTTAACAAATCTAATACCTAATGTTTGTCCCGAACTACATCAATCAAGATTGTGCGAAATCTTGTCCGTGTCATTATTTGTTTCAAATATCATAAAATCGTAATCCCATAAACATCATAAACAACCATTCCGCATCGTCGTCCTTTATTGCCGAATCTCCCTGTCTGTATAGGAGCTAGATCATCATTACAAACTCCCTCATGGTGTGAAAAACCTCATTTAAAAGTAACTTATCACACTGATATTGTGATAACAACCCTCGTTTCTTTTTGCGTCCGCTTGCTCTGGAAGGAGCAAAGCAACCAAGCAAACGGCTTCCCTATGGCAACGGTGCAAATATTTACTTTCAGATTCCTCAAACACCCCCATTTAGCAGAGCCTGCTTGCTGTTACGCGTAATCCAATGAAATTGAAAATTAACCTCGAAATTTTTGTGATTGAATCAATTGAGGGGATTTCGACGGGCGAATCCGATATTGAGATTTAGTCTGTGTCATCACGTTGTGTGTGTGTGAGCGCTTTCAAGTAGGCGGAATATTTCACCATTGGTAAACCAGAAAATCTCCAACCCGAGCCACGTGCTCATGCTTAAGAAAGGGGAATTTAGTTGGCCGTGGTGTAATCCTTTCCCTCCCCCCCACCCGTCTCCGCGGGTGGTTTGAGTTTGATGAAAAAGGGGTGAAATTACTGTCAAAATCTGTTCTAATGAAGATTAATTATGGTTAGTTATTGAAATGCTACCCGTGACGTTTGCATTTTGATGCCTGTTGATCGAATTATTTAGAACGGCTGCATTCAGGTAAAATAGTTTCAAAATAAACAATGCAACAGATGTTTGAAGGAAATAAGCAAACTCAACAGTTGCAAACAGTTTTGTTTGATAACAATAAATAGCTCACTCGATCATCATGGCGACCGTGTGCCACGCCATGGTAACGGTTTCCTACGCCAGCTTTGTTACGACGAGCCAAACATTATTCGGAAAATTTTCACCGCCGTAATCGGAAGGAACCAGCGGAACATCATGAACATCGCCACCAAAACCGGTCTAATCGCGAGCCCTCGGAAGCACATCGTCCGCCCGAAGAAAGAATTCGACCCGGCCATCCTGGCACCGTGTGCGATCACCCGTCAAGTGCCCCTAGCGCTGCGCCCCTTCGGTGGACTGTACAATCCGTATTCCAAAGGTTGCTCCGTTCTGTGCAATCACCCGGCCGCCCAGGAGGTCAAGAATGTAGTGCGGCTAGCTAAGGACGCTTGGATTACCGAGGCCCGTACGAACGAAAAGCTGGGCCGTAAAGGCGAAGCCAAGCGTCTCTTGTCGAAGGATTCCGATCTACCGGAGCACGTGCCGGAGGAATTTTTCCGCCGGTACACCGATACCGATTCCCGGCCGTTGACTCCGACTCCGACAGTAGCTAGCGGACGAACCCGGGCGAGCGTGGGCGGATCCCACCTGACACGGCGCTGTGTCACACCGGAACCACAAACCCAAAACCAGCAGGAACGGAAGCAACTGATTCTGGATCTACGGCGTAGCCATAGCCAGGAGACTCTGTACTGGAATGCTTCGTCGGAATTGTCCCCGAGTCAGCTGCAGGATCCTTCCTGGATGCAGCATCACAGCCAGATACCTCAGACGGTTGACGAGGAGCGTGTTCTTGGGGAAGGCGCGGAATCGGACAAAGAGGGCGGTAAACCCACTCCGATGACCTGTATCAATGCGATGGAGGATGGCGAGGAGGATCCCCCGCGGAGGCGCGGCAAGCGAAGGAAGAAGTCCAAGCAGTTGACGCAGACGATTAGCTTCACGCCTAATCAAGATCCGGAGACCCAGGTTGCCACGATCGACCCGGATTCACCGAATTACTCGGCTCGACCTTCGCTGGTGCCAAACGGGAGGAGCCTCCTGAGTTCGACCGAGACGCCTCCGAGGGTTAGCGTTGAGGAACCGGTGGAGTATCTGGAGAGCTTCCTGGACGAGGAAGCACTATGTCTGCTGCGGCGTGGCTTGAACATCGACATTGTGGAAGCGGTCTTCGAGCGATACGTAAGTACCGTGATTCAATTTTGAATGGGCAACATTTTCTCAAACTCTAATTCCGTCAGCGATCCCGCACCATGCAAGAAGCCTTCCGCACCGCCACACTGGATAAGCTGAACTTCCAGACCAGAGCCGTTCGGCAGCTGGAGGAAACCCTGGACATTCACGATATCGATCATGAAAAATGGATCGATCTTCCCCGGAAGTATTCGAGATCTTCCGCTCGATTCGAACTTCCAATGGATACGAGAACTCTATCAGGTAGGCTGGCAGCGGTAGTTTCCATGGTAACGGTTCAAACTCAAATGTCCTACCTTTTTTCCAGTAATGACTCCCATCGAATACCTAAAGCGCCACGTAGTCCTCGGTGACGATCGGAAGAAGCTCTATCATCGGATCTTTGTGCGCAATCTTCCGAAGGACGACGGGAGATCCGTACAGGAATCGAACGATTCCGACTCCATTCCGGAAACGGAGGTGCCCGTACAGGTGGAAAGCTACCGGAATCTTCTGGCCGACGTGACGCGGTTGATTCCGATGGCCAACTTTGACAAGGCGATGCACGAGGCTTTGGGCTTCCATGGCACGTCGGATAAGATCTACGAGATTCGGGATCTGCTGGAGTTGAACTACGAGTACTATCAGGAGATTCCGATTGATTTCCGATCGTGGTGTGGGATAGTGGCGTTTGCCGAGCGGTATATCATAACTCAGGATCGAGAGGTGGATCCTTGCAATGAGGTATGGAGAGGTGATTTTGAATGACTTGTTTTTGAATGTATTTTTTTTTTTGCTAGCTGGAACAGGTGGACTTTGAATCGCTCGAACGTTGTATCCGTTCCGCTAAGCCGTCGGAAAATTTGTGCAAGGTTCTACATATTATCAAAAGCAATTGAGGACGAAGATGAAGATTTTTTCTTAACTGGAATACAGGGAATCACTGCGCCAATTTATTTTTCACGTGTTGTGTTAGTATTTAAACGAAATAAATCTATACGAATTTCCATAGCCTACTGGTAGTCATTTGCATGACATCCTTTGACTCCGTTTGATTGCTATCACCGTTGGCCGTAAACACAAAAAATTCCATTGTAGTCATCAGAGAGTCACTCAATTACGAACAAAGTAACCACAGCACTTTGATGGAACGCGATTTCCCGTCCACCACTCGTGTAATCAAATTGAATGTACTCGTCCTTGGTCTAATGAGCGAAGTCCTTGATTGCGAGCTCTTTTATGACCAACCGAGGGATACAATCAAAGATCAAAAAAAAAACAATGAAACATCCTTATCGCATGTCATGTGTGCATTGAAGTGAAACTCATGGCCTTCTGTATTTATGTAGAAAGCTTCCTTATCTCGATGATTCAATCTCAGTTGGCGGTGCAGGGCCTAGGTATTGCTCAATGCTCTTATAGCTTCTCAGGGTCGTCTACTACTAATGCAACCACAGAGAGTGACGCAGTGTAATCGAAAATGTTATTAAATTTCCTTTTGCTCTTGCTCCTTTCCCCGCTATAGGATCACAGGATGTTAGCCGCTTTGTAATAAAAACGTTAATGGAGTTCCATAACATCGTTCGGTTGGTCCTCGGAGTCCTTCGAACCGGTTTTCTGTACGTCCATGTTGAGGAAAGGTGATTATCATAAATGGAATCGAAATGTGAGTACAGAAAAAAAAACCGTAACAACAAGCTTCTACTTATGCTGCCAGGAGAAAATCGCTCAGAACATTGTTGTGAAGGAACGAAAAAAAAAACACAAACATTCACCCTTCATCAAGCGGAAAGAGCTCGCAACGACGGGTGGAAAATCATTTCCTCCTATTCTCTTTCATGCTCTCATACCCGCAATTCGAAGCACCAATACCAGCGGAGAGCAGCTGAAGAGAGTAGGTACTCTATGCGCGTAAATTACGACGGGGGCAAAAGAAGAGTGGGTTGTAAGTGCCTCTCATCGTGCTAGCCCCAGTCTGTTGCAGCAGCTCTCTGTCTCTATATACACATGCATATATGTATACACTTGAGTGCCGAGCGTTGTGTGAGAAGAAGAAGAGAGCACTCAACGAGATCCAAGCGCCGCACGTCCCATCTCATGATGATCCTTTGGCTGGAAACAGTGGGAAAGTAAATCGAATTTGATGGTCAAACTATTGAAGCTCAATTGTTTATAAAACTGTTAAATTGTAATTAGACTGATATACACGGAACGAAAATCAATTATTTTATTCATGGGTTTAACTTATTCATTTTTGCCAAAACATCAGCCTTATACATTCCATAAGACAAACCAAGAATGCATAAAAGGTATGTGTGACCGCTTATACATTTCATTTGACACATGATGTTCATTAACTTTTTGCAAGGTGTCTGCTTATTAGTTGACTTATACATTTAATGAATAATCAGCAATATAGAAATTTACCAAAAGGTATAAGGAGATTTCTATCCGTGTATGTTTCTGTAATACGTCAAAAAAATTTGTTGTGTACATATTATACCCATTTAAACACATTTTAGGTCATTCGTGACTCCTTCGGGTGACGTCGTGACCTTAAGCGTGAGAAGCATGGATGCTAACCACTACACCGGGCCCGTCCTCACACCACAAACATTATATTACCAACATGATCTGTAACCAGTGGTTCCAAATAGTTACTTGTAGGCTCCTCCACAAGTTTCCTCATCCCAAATGGCCCTCCTGTCAGAGTAAGACAGGATTCCCAAATCCCATTAAAATACTGGACAGCCTTACTGGTGGCCGAAATTCCTAGCTGTCATTGTGATGCGCAGAGCCAAACTGCCTATTCAAAAAGCACCCGTTACGCATTTCACCTTTGTCGTTTATTGACAGCGGTTTAAGCCCGGACTCCAACCGGTTTAGTACTAATCGACGTCCTGGTCGAAATGGTTGCCAACTGTTACGAATTCCGGTCCACAAACTTCGGGTCTTCCAATTATAGAAGTAAAAAAAAAAATATAATAGATGATCCATAGTAACCGTAGCTCTTTTTTTTTTTGCGCTGACCACTGAAGAGAGTGGAAGTGAGCGTTGGGTATAAAATTAATTAATTAAAGCTTTGTAAGATAAGATAGTGAAGTGCTTCTTGTGAGTGTGTAGTAAGTCTCGAACACGTTATAAGTAGGCTGTGTTTGGTGAACAGCGTTAAAAAACGGTTAGAAAGTACGTTCCAGAATGTTAAATTAAAAGCTAACTAGTTGTGTGTTAGTTTCACAATAGGATTATCTTCCGAACGTTTAAGCCGAGGGGGACGACTCTATCTACGATGCAGAAAAGATTGTGTTTTGCTGTAGCTAGCCGCACGCACGCTGAGTAAATAGATAGAAGGAAGATTTATGTCGATTTTAAAGATTTCCTGCAAAAAGATGAAGCACGATGCAAGTAGATGCGAGAATTGAAAGATGATTTTTCGAGGATTGATTCGCTAGTGTGAGATTTTTTGAGCATCTAGAATTGAGATTTAGATATGTCGCCCCCCTCGGTTTAAGCCGTCCATACACGGTACGAAAAGTGCGAACTTGTAAGAAAAGGTAATTTAGATAAATTGATAGTATTACAAAAGAGAGAGAGAGAGAGTGAAAGGGTGTTTGTGTGTGAGAGAGAGAAAGACGTTTTAAGAAGGTATTAAAATGTCCCGGATTAGGTCCGTAGTCGCGCCTTTTCTTTTTCCCCCCTTCGGGATCGAATCCTGCAGGATTTTCTCCACAGAAAGGCCAGCATTGCAGCATTTACATGCAGCATTGGATCTCCACAAAGGGTCGATTGTCGAGCACCGCACGGCCATTTTCAACAAGCCATCGTACCACGTGCCCAGATTCAACCAGTGGTAGCAACGAAAACGGTGTTGTGGAACCAGGCTAGGTTCCCCGGTGGTCAGACGAGACGCCCCCTGCCAGCTGGGTTCAAACTGTTGCCGCCAGTCCCACGGTATGCACCAGCCGTTCACCTTCACTGATTGAACCGACCCCGGATCGGCGAAGGCCCGTAGGCCCGTAGTTCATCGTCATCAAAAACAAGCGCAAGTACACCTGAATGTCTCTCTCTAAAAACTCTCTCTAGAGCCCATTGTGGGCCGAATAAATCAAGCATGTAAACCTATTTGTCGGCTACTATTACTTCAGGAAGCACTCCCCACGTTCCTTCTTTCTTTGTTCTCGATTCTCGTGCCCAAAAAGGGGTGTACAAGCCTCGCTCTTTTTGGTCCGCATGTAGAACCGCTACTTTGGATCATCTCCACCTAGTTTCTAAAAATTGATTGGTTGCTATTCGTTCAGGAGCTGTTCACCGACAATTGTGTGGCTCCTGCCAAGGTAGGTAAGTGACTTGGGTTGAAGTTGCATAAAAGTGTTCAAGAATAAGCGACCTCGTGCTCTGGGAATATCTTTCTAAGAGAATTCCCTTCGGAGCAGCCTGGGAGGTAACAGATCCACTTTTTCGTTTGAGGACACGATTTGAACCTTTGAGCACTCGCATTGTTGTACCTTGTACAACACTTGTGGTTTTTCCGTTACCATTTTATTGCAAAATCACCTATCGATGTCAAATCAACTTGTATTTCTCAAGAAACTTGTTTTGAACAAAATAACGTAATTTTTGTTTAAAGTAATACCCTAAATAGCGTTGTAAAATAGGACATTGTGAATCCAATCCACGTAAATGGAACACGTAAAGGTTGAACACGGAAAAATCCGGACACATTAAAAACGCTGCCATTAAGGCATTTTTTGACTAAAATTTTTCATAATTTCACTGAATCAAGCTAAGGGTGTGCAGAATCACAGTACACGCTAACTTCTGCTTACTCACCAGGTGAGTCGATCGTACTCGCTTTCGTCTGATGTATCGAGTTGTCAAAAATTGAGCCACTCAGTCAGCAACATCCTGGACTTGGAAAAAATGCCAGTCATGTCGGAGAAAACCTCATACGAAATGTTACTCCAAACCGGCTGAAATGCCTTCAGGTAAGTACGAATTGCTTAGGGAAACGTTTCATTTCTGCTCCATTTTCTGCTCCAGTAGAATGAATCCGGAGCAGGTAATTTCCATTTCCTTGAATAAAAATCAAAACAAAAACCCTCTCCACAACTGAAAATACCACCGAGTGGATTTGACTCAGTCTAGGTGAGAACGTCATTTACTCATAAGTGAGTCAACAACTCAATTTTGAGTAGCCCTACTTGCCGCTGAGATGAGTACATTCGACTCAATTTTAAGTTGACCAGAATAAGCGTGTAAGCATTGCTTGTCAGGATAAGTTCCTTTGTTTACACGATGGCTTCACCGTAGCAAGCACGTCGTGATTCGATCCTGCACGCTCGAAACGAAAATCCCGGCCTATCCGCTCCTGGCAGTTTTCGATCAAACTCCTGGGCAGTAATTTTTGTTACCAGTTTAATATGCGTACCAGTCTACAGCTGTCTACCAGCCACTGAGCAAGATGTGCCATTTTATTCAATCAACAAAGTGAACTCGATGTGTGCGCATCATTATCGAGAATAACCCGAATTTCCTGTTTTATATAAAACACTTGACCATTTATTTCACTGGAACCTGATCCCAAGAGGTTATGGGCCCAGTTGTCGTGGAAAGTGCATGAGTTTTGTCGTCGCGAGAGTGAATTAAGTGGATTTATTTTTCCGTGCGGTAATCGTGTGAAATCGTGTTGGAAAGACATGAAAGTGTGTTGGATGCTGTGACAAAACCGAAGTCAGAAAACGCTGATGCGGCCTGGGTCATTAAAGATGGTAAGACGCAGGCGTTGTTCAGTTTGGCACTGAAAAAGAAGGAGGGGAACTTCCGGCGTGATTGTTGAAAGATGGCACAGGATCGTGCGGAGAAGGAGAATTCTCAGCAAGCAAATATCGCTGTTAAATCG